ATTTCACTAAGGTCCCTCTCCCTCTCTCGTAGAGCTGACATCTTCCAAGTCTGCTGCACAAAAATGGAAACCGTGCATGAGGTGATCCCCTTTGCCAAAGAAATGCTCAGCCAGAAGCCCAACAGGAAAATGGTCAAGCTGTACGTGCTGGGCAGCGTGCTGGCTTTCTTTGGCGTGCTTATCGGTCTGGTGGAGACAGTGTGCAGTCCTTTCACCTCCGAAGGGAGGCTGGAGGAGGAGGAGGAGAAGCAGCCTGCCCCAACGCAAAAGCAAACACTTCCCCAGAAAGAGGAGGATTTGATCTCGGAAAAGAGCAAGAAGGCGGTGGTGGTGCAGAGGGCCCTGGTGACCAGACAGCATGCCTCCTGAGAGCCGAGCACGCGCGACTCTGCGGTCCCCTTGTCCCTGGCCGCGGTTCCAGCAAGAAGGGAGAAGGGTTGGCTGATGGAGGAGACCGCGAGTGCGAGACTTGGAAGAAGTGAACGGTTATATTTGCTGCTGTGCAGCAGTGGGAAAAAATACCTTTTGTTGGTATAAAAGTGTGCGAGATGCACAGCATGGTTTCTTATTTTTATTACGGATGCATTTTACAACACTTTACAAAATCAATAAATATTTTATATGGTATCCATACTCTCTAGCTGTGTTTATTTTCAAAGGCTTCTCTTACTGATTTTGCAAATAGGTTTCACTTCCACCTCTGGCTCCTCTCGGGGGGGTAGCTGGGGGGAGACAGGGAACAGCTGAGGGTGGTGGCCGCACCCTCCCAAAAAAGCCCCCCTCAGCGAGGCTGCTCTGGGAGCGAGGGGGGGGCATTTCCATGCCTCCAGCTGCTGCTCCCTTGCAAAATGGGCCAACTGGGGCGGGGGGAGGAGGTGGCATTTGTCTCACATGGCCGACGGACAGATGCCCTGAGTTGGGGGTGGGGTTGCACTTCGTGGCGTTATCTGGGTTAATGGCACAGATTCGCGTCTCTAGTCTCTGCCACGGCCATGTGCGCCCAGAACTGTTTTACCAAACCACACGCCCATTCCCCAGCGATCCTCTAACAGGCTACACAGCTAAAAAAACTTTTTAAAAATCTTCTGCCTTTCCTGGGATCCTTCACAAACCCACCACAGACACCGAATTGTGCAGAATACTACTAGCTTCCAGTATTACCGGGGTGCCACAGATGGAGAAACTGAAGCACGGAGAGACACAAGGGCACAGCCAGCCTGGAGGGTGTGGAAACAGAGATCCAAGCTCTAGGGCTGTACCCAGGGCACTGCCAGACTCCTCCGAGGACGTTCACCTCTTTAAAAGGGGGGCTTAACAAGAACCTGTTGCATTCAAAACTGTCATGTCAGTCAAATAAACCCTCCAGACAGCCACAGCTGAAAGATCCTGACCACGCCACAGAAGGGAGGGAAGGGAGATAATCTCTGCCAGTCATGACTGGGGCAGAAGATCCCTCTTTATCTGCTCAATGGCAAAGGCACGGCCAGCGGGGCAGAGGTAGGAGCAGGCTACAGACCTTGCACAGAAACCGGGAGATGTACCCACGATATGCCACTATCTAGCTAAAAGCAAAGCAATTGTTTCAAACAGCAGGAAACCGTGGAAAACGAAAAAGCACTGCCTGACACCAGTGCCCAATGCACAGCTCCTCCCAAAGCTGCACAAGTTAACATCAGATTCCAAAAATATAAGAACGCAACTCAAGTACACCCATGCGTTTTCATAATGCATAACCAACAATTCATTTTGTCGACAGTTATTTCTGTTAAAAAAAAAAAAAACACAACACAACCAAAAAAACCTGAGACAAAACAGCAGCACATTGTGGAGGAGGAATCCCACCGAGTCTGCACAAAAACTCCGTTCAAGCTTTGAATCAAGTGTAAAGCACCTTTTCTTCATGGAGAAAAGAGCAGAGTACAATTGAAAATGGCCTTCAAGAAATACTTCATTTAATCCGTAACCAAGCCTTTGGCCTCTGTCAAGGCTGAACAATCCAACACCTCATGGATACCAATGGAAATTTCACAGGAAGAGATGAAAGGAGAACTCAGGCCTGAAGAAAGCCATCAGCTGATGAGTGTCCGTCATCCCACCCCCCAATTCCAGCTTTGGACAGGTCGTACGTTTGCAGCACGGCCTCAGGGACAGGGAAGGCTGACCAGGAATTCCCTGTGGCAGGTTTGCCGCGTGGATAAACCAGAGACCTGAACGTCTGTGGCTGTATCAGGCACGAAAATATTGCCAGGTCTGAGCGCTCGCACATTACTAACATTCAGAAGGATCGCTGCTGCGGCAAGCGGAGCTAAACAGTTGACAAATGGATTAAGCTGAGATGAGAATCACGTCTTTGTCCAAGGCAGCTGCAAACTGTTAATCACGCATCATTTCCCAAGATTAGCGCTTCTCTGCAAGTTATAGGTATCTCATCCTGCCCTATGGGAGAGGGAAAATTTCAAAAGTGAGAAGACAGAGCTGGCCTCGAGCAGCCCAGCTGTGAGTCCCGAGGGGACCGGGGACCTCCAGGCGAGCCCATCCCTGACCTCCACCACTTCTGGGCTTGGACCTCAGGTTTCTCTTCGCACCACGTACACGGCCTCCACCCTGCTGCCCACACCTCCTCTCCGCAGTGATCCCGCCACGGCGTTTATGAGCTTAAAGCAAAGAGGTTTGTGGAACAATCAAAATAGCTCCTCCTAAGACAGCTAACGGGATTAGAGAGCTAAACCACCACGCTGCGCCAGCCGTTCTGGAGCCAACTTGGTAAAATCATGTCCTGCGGAAAACAATCTCCTGGCTCCTGACGTGCTGCAAGCTCAGAGGTCATCGCCACCCACATATTACCCCAAAGGTCAGCCTGAGAGGTCAAGCCTACGCGTTACCATTTCCACAGTGGATTGCATTGATATTAGACAGGACCGGCTCTCTGCAGAGTGGCAGATTAGACACATATTAATGGCTGATTTTACCACAATGACCATAAAAAGTCTTATTTAAACCACACAATGATAAATTCAGTGTGCATGGAAGCTTAGTAAGCCATTTAACATCACTTTAACTGTGATGAATGACAGGCTTCCCAGATGCAGTAGATTAAAAGGCTTCAGCAGCGTTCCCTGTCTTTAAACCACGGCACGACTCGTTTCCCAGCCCAGCCCCACCTCCTGAGCCCCCCCACATCTGCATTTCGACACCAGACAAACTGCAGCAAACCCCTGGCCAATACAACTGCCACAAGTGCAACCAGCAAACGGCATCCACGCAGCCCCGCAACAGGGCATGGCAGAGTCATTCCAAAAGCCCGTGGGTGAATTGCAAAGACAAATTTTAATTATAAGTACTGGGATATACCAGAGAGCAACCAGATGGAATAAGATGTACAGTCAGTACTAGTAAGGACATCCCAGGCAAGCCGCAGTGTAGAAGCATATGGAGTATTTAAGGCTAAGTTAAACCGAAGTCCTGAGGGATAAGCTCTTGAGGAGAGCCACATGTTGCCCAAGATGTGACTTACATTGCTGAGTCTGCATGAGGTTGATTTTCTCTTATTCCCTTTAAGACTTGTCTGAACCTAGTTTAGCCTGTAAAGATGACATTTTCCTGGTGCATTAAATCCTCAGGAAAATTGCAGCTGGCATGAGACCTGCTGAGTATTTGTCCGTACCCATCCTGCAGTACTTCCTCAAAGATCCTATTTCAGCTTGGGGCCGTTGTCCAGGCCTTCATCATATGAAGCTGAAGGCCACCTAAGACCCGGCAGCCTTCCCTCCCAGGCCAATCGCTTCAAGGACACGAGCCGAATGTCTTTAGAGAGTCCTCACTCGCTATTCGCAGTTTGGACTCTGGATGTTTCAAGAGCTGCCAGGCTAAATTTAGGGGCCCAGATAAGCATATCAGCCTCTGCCACCCAACACCAAGGGCACTGGGAACAAAGGGGGCAAAGACACAAAGCAGCCACAGTACCAACAATGAAATATCCAGGCAGCAATTCCTGATTTAGTCACACAGGAAAATAAATAATTTCTGAGCGCTAAATTAATTTAACATCACAGTATTTTCTCTAAACCGGCAGTAAGCAGAAACATCTTGTCAAACCAAACCCAGCCCTACAATCACCTCAAGTCTCTCTTGGGACCCAAGAGTGCATTTTTCAGGCGCGGTGCAGCCGTGACAGCGACGGTGTCTGCAGGACATCGGCACTGCCCGCGGGCCATGCAGCCGTGCCAAAACACACACACATCTGTCACAGCCCGATAGCATCACGCTGATGTGCACATCAGCCTAATGCGAGTATAACCGAGGGCAGCCCTTTATAATGGTGATATCCCTATCTGTAAAGAAAGGGATTAGATCTGTGTTCACAGGAAAGTACGCTGGGAGAGCTGGGTATGAGAAATAATGTTTTAATGTCTACGTGATACAGGAAAGCAAGGGGACGGAAAGGAAAATCTTTTGCATTTAACAAAAATTTGATAATGGGTTGAAAAAAGCCAAATATCACTCAAAAGCAAAAAAAAAAAAAAAAAGAAGTGGTATTCCA